TAGGCTTGGATTGGCAGGCTTCCCACGCCATCCTGGACACTTTTTCCTGCCGTTTATCCATTCTCCTCACCTGTGCCAGTCCTTAGTGCACTGCCTCTCAGTCCTTGTCTCTCTCTTCTTTGCTCTGTTTTGTAATGCTGCTCTTGGACTCTAAAAACATCTCTCTTTGGCAGAGGACTCCATGTGAAGCTTCCCCCACCAAAGGAGTTCGGGGATAAAATACCTAACATCGAAAGTTAAAGGAGGAAAGGTTTAATTCATCTCACAGTTTATACCGGTTTCAGTCCACAGTTGGCTGGTTCCAAGGCAGGCCAGCATGGCAGAGGGGCATCGCAGAAGAGAAACAGTCTGTGGTGTGGCAAGCAGAAGGAAGGGAAGCAGCAAGCTTCCCTTCTTTCTGTCCATTTATATTCCATCCAGGCTACAGGCCTATTGATTAGTGCCATCCATATTCAGAGTGGAGCTTCCATTATCCATACTCTTAGTCCTAGTATGACACCCTTAACCCACATTCACACACTCTAAATCCACCCAGTTCTGAAAAGCCCTACCTATGACTACATGAGGCTTTGGGGGGAACATGTGGATATAAGCCATAACAGAGAGGAACGGTCTTCTTTCCTGGTTGTGTTGAGCTCTTCCCACTTGCACCAGTAGCAGTTGTAACTTGTAGGCCATGAAGCTTACTAGGTGCCCTCTCCCCTCCAAACTAGGATCTCTAGTGAATCCTGCTTCCTGGCCAGCTTCCCTGTGAGCACCAGGCACCACAGCAGACACCCCCCCACCCCCCAGCATGTCTCAGGGGCATCCCAGAGGGCAAAGCTCACCATTACCCTTTGTATCCGCCAGCGCTCACTAGAAGAAGAGATTTAGTATAAGATATATATGTATATGGGTGCACAAGTTAGGCTTACAGTGGCTGCCCATGGAGTCAGGTGTGAAAGAGTACAAAAGGGCTGTTGGCCTGCTGGAGATCCAAAGGATCCAGTCAAAGGTAGAAGACCTGGAGCTCAGAGTAGTGTTCCTTGTGAGTCCATATCAGGAAACTGAAGGGTCCGTGCTGGAAGGCTAAAGGGTCTGACCTGGAAGCCAGGACATGATGTCCAAATTGAAGGTGAAAACTGGAGCTCCTCTGAAGAAACAGAAATGAGATTTCCTTCTTCTTTCCCTTTTTATTCTATTCAGGTTACAAGCCTATTGGTTGGTGCCACCCATACCCAGGGTGGGTCTTCCATCTTCATGAAATCCATTCAGTCACACCCCAAAATATGCTAGGCCAGTCAGTTGGGTGTTTCTCATCCAACTGTGATAACAGTTAACTATCACACCCTGTTCACAACAACTTGCACTTTTCTGAGGGAAGACAAAGTGTGCTTTCCTGGCACATTTTGCCAGCATCCTGATGGGCAGTTTGCTGCCTGCCAGCCCTGCCCTGGGGCCCCTCAGCCCGCTTTGCCGCTGCCCAGAGGACCTGTCGTATTCTAGAGTGAGTGGTGACTGCAGTCTCTCAGGGGTTGGGCTTTCTTCTAGATTTGTTCCTTCCTTAGCTACTCTACAGCAGCTCCGAAAGTCTGGCTTTTCCTTAATCTGCCTTTTCTTTATTCTTCAAAGTTCTCCTTATCTGTTTCTAGTGAATCTCCAGTTTAGTTAATAATCCTTCATGGTAAACTCTCCCTGTCAAGTTGCTGGCTGCACCTCAGAGATGGACAGCTCACATGGACAATGTGTCCTCTCAGAGTCAAAATTTGACCCCTACATACCAAGTATCCCACATGGGAAAAATGATTTCTGGAGAAAGACACTGAGGGACATTCCCTCCTATGTCCAAGCAGATTTCCTTTCCTGCTCCAGGACTAGACTAATGAAAGGAAAACTAGAAAATTATGTACTTGCCTTTTGTGGGTTGATAGGCTGGCAGCAGTGTCTGTCACAAGCCTGTAGGGCACAGCAGTCAAGAGATGCCATGTGACAGGGTGCGATTAAGCACTAATGAGAAATGAAAATGTCTTGGGCTTTACGGGTAAATCTTAGTTAGGTAAGGGGGCAGGACTTGAGCTGGAATGTGAAGATACACAGCATTTAATAAGCAGGGAAGGGGAGGCTCAGTATTTTACATAGAGATGAATTACATTAGTCTGTCCAGGCAGCTGTAACACAATCTCATAGACTGGATGGCTTATAAACAACAGAAAGCTGCTTCTCACAGTTCTAAAGGCGGGGTGGCCCACACTGAAGGTGCCAGCAGATTCAGAGCCTGGTGGGGACTGCTTTCTGGCTCACAGATGGCTCTCTTCTCACTTTGTCCTCACACAGGAGAAAGGACAAGAGACAGGAACTAATGCTATTACTTAATCCCCTCCCAAGGACCTCATCTCCTTGTATCATCACCTTGGGGGTTCAGATGTCAACATATGAACTTTGGGGAAAAACACAACATTCAAACACAATCAGTGACTAAGATGAGGAGAGACAGAGCACAAATTTTATTCTGTATGCAAATGCGGTTGATTTTGGAGAAGGAGTGGTAAACGAAATTGACTCTTTCCGGTGTAGCCAGGTCGTCAGAGCTAGTGACACCCTTAAGATCGCTTTCCTCTGTATTTCTGGATGCTATATTTAAGCTGCTCTAGTGCAAAGTTCTTGGGAGATGTAATCAATTGTGATAGTTAACTGATTGTGTCAACTTGAGCAACAGTCAGTGTAGTTCTGAGGGTGGCTGAGGGGGTTTACTGAAGACAGAAGACCCACTCTAGAGCAGCTTGTCACCTGAATGATATGAAGGGGAAACAAAGGAGGAAGGCTCGCCCCTGTTTCTTCAGAGGAGCTCTGGTGTTCACATTCACTTTGGACATCATCTCCTGGCTTCCAGCCCAGACCCTTCAACCTCCCGATAAGGTCTCTCTCGGGATACCACACTGAGCTCCAGGCCTTCAACTGGATACTTCAGGTCTCCAGCGCAGAGATAGACCTGTTAGATTCTTCCACACCTGACTCTGTAGGTGGCCACTGTAAGCTAATCTTGTAAATTCTTTTTTTTTTTGGTACCGGGGATCGAACTCGGGTCCTTGCTCTTGCGCAGCAGGCGGCAAAGAAACCACTGAGCTAAATCCCTGGCCCCAATCTTGTAAATTCTTACATATTTGTATATTTTGTATTAAACCTCTTCCTCTAGTATGCACCAATAATACAACAAACAATAAATGATACAGCAAACAAGAAATCTCTGCTAAATGATAATATAAATTACACTCTATTTGTATGTTTTCATGACAACCTCCTTTATATGAATTTCTTTAGGAAAGAGCAATGTCACAAGCACCACACATCTTGCTCAGATACAATAGATCTGCAAAGCACTTTTTAAATTGATTTCTAAAAAAGAATAAAACTTTTAGGTATACTGTGCATGTCTATGTGTAAGTAAAATATGCACAGTTACACTCTTTAGAGCAAACACAAGAACCACTTTGATTTTGAACCCCTGGTGTGTTAAACACACTCTTCTGCCCTCCTGTCCTCAACATCAGGGAATGAGAATGGGCAGAGGGCATCTTCCAGCTGACGTGGTACTTCTACCTGAGGCTGCAGTTCTCATGTAGTGCCTGTGGGGCTTCTCGGGGCACTCTGTGCTCTCCATGATCACTGATGAAAACCCATGGTTTAGAAAGATCACCCTGAGTGTGGGGTGAGGAATGATGGGAGGCCAGGAGACTGTGTAGGTCTGTCACAGGCATCTAGCCACGTAGGAGAGCAGCCACCCGTGAGCAGGTAGGTGCGAGTGGCAAGAAAAGGCTGTGTGGGTCAGGTTTGGGGACTGAGTCCTGCAAATGCTGACAAGACACAGAAGTCTTTCTCACCCCCTGGACCATCACACATGTTCAAAAGGACATATTGGAGAGTGGTACCTCTCTTCCCTAATAGCGCACCCTACAAAGACTCTTATAGCTGCAGTGGACCCCACGAAGGCCTTCTTCATAAGGACCTTTTAGTTATTCCTGAGGCTGGCCCTGTTCTCCACAGGCTAACCACCTTGAGAAACTGGTGTGCTTGCCCCGCTGACCTCTGCCTTCACCCTGCAGTGACCACCACTCAATCCAGCCTCTTGCACTCAGGATTTCCCATGCCAGGTGGGAGCCTCACCATCCATGGCTGCAAACTCTCAGAGTGACACAAAATTATCCTGAGTTCTCTCCCCTACACTTCCCACTGCTGGGCTGGCAGCCCTGGTGAAGGCCTGCAGCTATCATAGCTCAGCAAATACTTCACTGTGGAGGAAAGTGCAGGGTCCCTTTCTTTCAGGGATACCAAGTTTTCAGGCATAGTTTTCTTTGTGGCCTTCTCACTTGGCTTGAAATTCAGTTAAGGTTGCAAAATCAAAACGTTGAAGCTTTCTCCACTGTATGCAAATCTCTATACATTTCTAGTCTTTTCTTCTTAGGAGTATGTGAGGTTTAGGATAAACCCACTCAGGCCATCTCATAGTGATCTCTGGAGGGAACATGGGCACTTACAAGCGTATGCAGGACTTAACTCTTGTGCCAGCTTTGGGCCTTTGACAAAAGTGTAAGATGGCAGAAAAAGTACAAATCTTGGTTTATCATATATAATACACGTATGTGTTCCTACATATATGCCCAAGCATTCCTTTTTTTTTTCCTTCTCTTCTCTTTTCTTTCATTTTTCTTTTCAGTATTGGAGACTGAACCTAGGGCCCTCACACTGAACTACTTTCCCATAGATCCCCAGCTATTCATTCATTTATTTATTTATTTATATTTATTTATATTTTGAGACAGGATCTCACTATGCAGTTCAGGATGGCCTTGAACTCAGTGTGTAGCCCAGGTTGCCATTAAATTCACCGCAATCTTCTTGTTTCAGCCTCCTGAGTTCTGGTATCACAGGTGTGCACCACCAAGCCTGGCTTATTTATTTACCTTTTATTTTTATTTTGAGACATGGTTTCTTTAAATCACTAAGTTGCCCAGACTGGGCTCAAATTTATGATCCTCCTACCTCAGTCTCCAAGTGCTAGGATTACAAAGCTGCATCACCACACCCAGCTTATCCCAGCTTTTTGTTTTGAAAAAGTGTGTACAGCTGCAAAATGTTTAATAAACATGGGTAAGACCCAGAAAAAATGCATCCAATGCTACAAAGATACCACAGATACATCTGAAGAGTTTTGAGTAGGGAGTGATGTGAGGAAAAAGAATGGTTTAGAGAGATTACACTAAGGGTGGGAAGAGGGATGAAGACAGACATGAAGACCATTAAGGTCTGTCAGAGGCATCTAGCCACATAGGAGACCTGCTACCCATGAGCAGGTCGGGGTGGCAGGAAAAGGCTGTGTGGGACAGGTCTGGGGACTGAGTCCTAGAAACACTGACAGGAAGTAGAAGTGTTTCTCACCCCCTGGACCATCACACATGCTCAAAAGGACAAGCTCAAGGGCAATGCCTCTCTTCCAATGGCAGGTCTCCAGCTTTCTTGCCTGGACAATTTCCTCCAAAATCTCACTCATCAGAGTCAGCAGAGCTGTACACATGAGAACTGGTGGGCACATTGGATGAGAGCAGCCAAGCTTTGGGATTTTGCTGAATGCTCTTTAAGCAGAGGGGATGGGGAAGGGAAGGAGGGAGAGAAGGAGGGAGGGAGGGAGAGAAGGAGGGAGGGAGGGAGGGAGAGGGAGGGAGAGCAACACAGAACACAAGTGAATCAGCACTAGCTGAACTCCCACCCCTACCCCTGCCCTGAGGGCGGTCCTCACCAGATAACCAGCACTATATTAGATTTAGGAAAATAGCATAGCGGTGCCAGCTTCCACAGTAAATCATCCTTACAGTCACTCAGAGCAGAACAAACACCTTGTTGCTCCTGCTGTGGAAGAAGCTGTGTCTCTCCAGTCCTGAGTCACCCTGGACCACCTCCAAATGTGGATTCACAGGCATTTAGAAGAGGCTCCAGTTGAGCAGCACATCAGGCTGACATATTTCTGGGTCGTCCAAGATGGGCTCTCCAACTGTCCTTCATCACGATCCAGAGTTCTCTACAGTTCCCAGCCTGGCTGCTTTGAAATGGTACTGGGCGAGTCCTCTGGAAGGTTTTGCAGCACCCTTCTCCACAGCTGTGGAGACAGCTCTTTGGGTGAAATCCAGCCTGATGAATCACTCATTTCCTGTTCTTGATCTCAGAAATTTCTGTTTGATGTTGCTTTCTCAAACAGAAAGAAAAAAGAAACAAAACCCAACATGATTTTTGGAGGAAAGTATTTTACATAATGTAGCCTTATGGGCTATAACACTACAGCCTCACCATTACCATCATAATCATTTTCCTAGGGAAAGTTCTGGATGTTGAGAATAACTACATTGGCCCTGCCATGACGTGAGGAGTTGGATGTTGCAAGCAGATTTCCCAGTTCTGTTTATACCACAAAGTTGAAGATATTGCTCAACTTGTCACTAACAAGTCAAGAGAGGCTACCATTTATAAAACTGTCAGATGCATTTGCTAGTACGACCCAAGACTCAGCTGCGTGGGTTTCCAAGTTTTCTATCTCATGGGAGCACTACCCTTCTCCTAATGTTGAAATTAAAATGATTTGATTCCACATTCCTCCTTTAGCTGACTCCTGCATTTCTCAGGAATCCTGGGGACTTTCCATTTCTCATACTTACTCCCTCACCTAACAGCCCTCTTTTGTTTCATTGTCTTTCTCTTGGGTTCTCACCTCTTGTGACTCCTCCCTATCTCTGCCTCAAAACTAATGTGGAAACGCGGTTGCTCCTCTGAGATTTTCCCAAGGTATCACGCAGCAAGATGGTACTTTTAGCAAAATTCACTCAAGGCTACAAGTAAGGGAGCACATAATTGAAAGCTGCCTATGAAAGCACATAGGGTTTCCACTCCAGGAAGTCTCCGGGGCGTTTCCCTTAGGCAGCATCTCCAGGGCTGACTTCTGCCTCCTCCAACAGCTGGCTTTACCTCCTGTTCCTTCGGAAACCCTCTCTCCTGCTTCTCTTTTCATGTTAGCTCTTTGTTTTATTGGGCATTCCAACTTCATTTTCTTTGTCTTATTCTTCCTCTTTACAGATCAAGGTCTGGGTCTGTTTCCCGCCAAACATTCAAAAACCATCAATTATGCTGCCAGCCAAATTTTGTTCCCCACTTCCCATGCCCTACATTAGCTTTGAAATTGTTAAGCTAAAAAGTTTATACAGATATTGTAATTCATCTATTCTCAATGGAAATCAGGAAGAGAAGAGAAAACAGAAGTGCTCTGTTTCAGAGCATACCAGTCTTATATATATTTCAAGAATTCCATTTACTTGACTCAGAAAAAAATAATGTTTGTATTCCACAGTATTTAGACTTTTTCTGGGGTCCCTGTTGGAGGTAAAAGGGGGCTTTATCTGTGGATTTCTATGTGGACAATGGTGTCTTCTTCAGACGAAGAAAGAAGAACCTTCAGCCAAAACCGACACATTCCCTGTTCTTGTAGAAGAGAGGAGACCATGAAAATGCTCCCATTCTCCCAATATATATAAGAAAAAGGTACACAAAATGCATGACAGTGTTGCTATGCAGAAATACACACAATGTACATGCACTGTGAGAGAAAGGGATGATGGGATCTTTCTGTGGAGTTTACCACTGCAAGATCATTAATAAAAATACACAAATGGGCCATCAATTTTTATCGAGGAATCCTCCCTAAGAAGGTGACCTCAAAATGCTGGTCCAAAATGCAGAATGGATGCCATTCTGCAGTAAAGTGGGTTTTTTTGTATATCCTTTTATTGGTACATTTTAGGTGTACAACATAATGACATTCATCATTGGAGATATGCACCCTTAACTCTCTTGGTTATTATTTTTCCCCCTTCCCTTACCCTCCCTTCAACCCCTCCATCCCTCCCAATTTGCAAAGACTTTGTTTCCATTTTTTCATTTTCTCATATTAATTCCACTCCCCTCTTTCCTTTCCCCTACCCCTCCCACTTCACCCTCCCCTTTGCCCCTTTTCTGCCTATTTCACATTATGTATTATACCTTTTATCATGAAATCAACCAACAACAAATGCTGGCGGGGCTGTGGGGAAAGAGGAACCTGCTCCACTGCCGGTGGAAGTGTAGATTGGTGCAACCACTGTGGAAATCAGCATGGAGATACCTCAAAGAACTAGGACTAGAGGTCCCATTTGACCCAGCTATTCCCCTGCTGGGGATCTTCCCAAAAGAATTAAAAGAATCACACCACAGTAATATATGTGCACCCATGTTCATAGCAGTACAGTTTGTAACAGCTAAAACTTGGAAACAGCCCAAATGCCCATCAGCTGGAGACTGGATCAAGAAAATGTGGTTTTTTAAAATAAAATGGAGTACTACTCAGCCGTCAAAAAAGAGAAATTAGAGACATTTATTGCTAAATGGATGCACATTGAGGCGATACTCTTAAGTGAAATAAATAAGACAAATGTTTAAATACCAAATAGTTTCTCTAGTGTGAGAAACTGAAAGTGTAAATAAGGACTAAAAGTTATAATAGATAATCTGCAGTAAAGTTTTAACTGGTGTAAGACAAAAAGAGAAAATTAAGGGTAATGTTATATTTTCAAACACATCTATGAGGAGTTTCCAATTTCTGTGGCAGACATTGCACCATGAGGAAACATGGGAGTCTCTCTCCATCTGACATTGCTGTGTTCTGATGTTCTCTGCTACATGAAATGATGGTAATTTTAGATAGTTTTGTGGGTTTTTTAAATTGTTGTACTAAAGCAAACTATGTCCTCAGTTTAAAAAAAAAAACCATTCACAAATGTCTGGGAAGGAGATGTCTACAAACATATTTAAGAGATTCAGAAACACAACAAAATCTAAATTATAAACCTCCCAATATCCTAGAACTTAAAGTAAAATCACACAGTGCTTTTTGAAGTTCAGGAACCAGAAAAGCTGTAGAAGAGGCTCACAGATGGGACTTACCTTCTCAGGAAGGAGGGTGTATGCCAGGTGTGGTCGAACAAGCTTGTACTTCCAAGTACCTTGGAGACAGAGGCAGGAGAATCGAAAGTTCGAGGCCAGCCTGGGAAATTAGCAAGACCTTGACTCAAAATGAAATGTACAGGGCTGTGGATGGTCCTCACTCTTGGGTTTAATCCTCACAACACACACACACACACACACACACACACACACACAGAGTCTAGAAAGGTCTCAGGGCCACACACAGACTTGAGAATCAGCCTCCCTTCTAATCTGTACCCATCCATGGTTCCTCTCACCCCACACTGCCAATCTTTTCACTCCCTAGATGTTCATATTTTCCCTAGGGAACACTAGAAGACACTATGTGAAATGTTAGATGCATGGAGGAAAGAAGATGTGATAAATGGAAGTGAAGGAACATGCCTGTGCTACTGGCACTCTGGGAGGCTGAAACAGGAGAAATGCAAGCTGGAGCTCAGTCTGGGAAACTTGGCAACTTAGTGAGACCCTATTTTGAAATTTTAAAAATTCTCTAAAAGGGCTGGGAATGTAGTTCAGGGAGAAGGTTTTGTATTCAACTCCCAGTACCCACAAAGCATGAGGCAGGAGGAGATACAATCAGAAGATTTTAACCATTTATTTTTAAAACTAGCTGTGCTAATTGCAAAATCAGAGAGAACCCTATAAACTGTGCCTGTTTTCCAGGTAGGCGAAAGCAACCTCAGGGGAACTTTGGAGGTTTCTCAAGGGTCCCATCCTGCTCCCCAGCACATGGATATGATTTGACTGTTGAACTTCTTCAGAAAAGTAGTTTTTCTAACAAATCCTCTCCCTTTCCCTTCATGTATCCGATCTTTGGGAGACATCAAATTCTTACTACATGTAAATCCAAAATGCATACAAAATCAAAAGTTAGGCAAATGCTTTCAAAGCCTCTGGTCTGTGTTTGCCAAGAAGGATAAAGGTAATACAGATTTTATAGCTCAAAGAGATCTTGGAGATTTCATTCAAGATGAGAAACAGTGATGCCAAAAGCCACACAGTAAACCAGGTTGCCCAGCTCACTTGCTGAAACTTCTGCATCCAGGATCCCTTCAACAAAGCACGAAGCACATCACTCCTCTTATTTTCCAGCCTTGTATCTTTCCAGGACATAGATTTACTATACACTTAACAGCAAGTTCTTTATCTTCTCCTTTTTTGACAAGGATAGGCAAATATTTGTGCTCTGAAATTTCCCAGTTTTTTATTCCATCTTATGAACCTAGAAGATAACACTAATGGGTGATACCTTCTTTATCTTACCTTATATTTCCTATTTCTTCTTTGATTCATACCATTGTTCCTCTCCATGCTTCTGTCCCTGCCAATAAGCAAACTGCACATGACATTCACATTTGTTGAGCCCAATCCATGATAAGTTAAATCAAATACACATGTAGATCATGCATGTAGACTTTCCTCTGTAAGTTTAGATAAAAAGAGAGGATGATACTTTTTTAAATGCAGTGTCTCATCTTTCATCCTTCTTTCCACTTAAGAGGGTAGAGCTCAAAGGTTTGCACCTGGTGAGGTCACTTTCCAAGATTTCTGCATTTTGACAGATTCTAGTTCTCAAGGGCACTGTGCTTAACAGGAAAGTATGGATCTTAGAAACTGTGGCCTGAAGAAATACAAGAAAAATGCAATGGTGTAGCATTGAAAAGTTGCAAACTAGCTCAAGGTGCTAAGTGAAGACAGGGATAAAGCAATCACAGATGGAACAGAGGGTGGTAACCATGGAGGGATTCTGAAGCAGGCATGTGTCCCTCTAGGCATGACTTCAAACCAGCCTGCAGATGCAGTAAGGAGGAAGAGGCAGGATGAATGGGAAACTGTTGCAAAACATGAATAGGAAGGAGGAGAGGTGTGGAGGTATGATCACTAGCAGAGATCATGAATGAGGCTGTCCCTCATCAGCAGAGAAGCACTTAGGCAGGCAGAGGGGCTGATGTCCTTGCACACAGATTTGAAGATGGAAGGCAGTGGGTGGTGAAGCCATTCACATCCCATCCCTTTACTCCTTGATGTCATTGGTGGTTAGGTCGTGCGTATAGTACTGGTAACAGCTGAGTGGGGAGGAGAGGAGCATGGTGAAGATCTGCTCACTGCCACAGGTTGCAAGCAAGGACAGGAGAAAGACATTGCAACGAAATTATGGGCTCAGCTGCCACTGCGGACCATCAATGTGCTGAGACACTAACCTGCATAGATGGGGGCTTTTCCCAAAGGAGCTGAGATACAGGAAAGAAGATGAGGTATTTCTGAACTGATCTAGAGTAGAGGGTTTTCAGGGCAGGGTTTCTAGAGAGAGTAGGGTTTGGAGACAGAGTACAAGGTGCTGATGTCCAGAAGAAGAAGAAAGATGGGGCTCAGAGTATGGTATGGTTGAGGGGTCACTGTAGCAGGAGTGAGTGCGAGATGCAGAGCACAGGTGGAGGCCACAGTTTTTGGTATTGCTGTTTGCTTGTGGTTCTGGGGACCCAAGCCAGGGCCTTCCACACACCAGGCAAACTCTTGGCCCCTGAGTTCTATCCCTAGCCCTCAGAGGCTGGTGTTGAGGTGCAGTGAATCCAGGATTGGCTCCAATTGCAGTGGGTTGGAAAACTGGAAGGATGGTGCTTGGCAAGAATCTGCACCCTGAGCAATCTCCCAGATAATAGAAGGAATTGTGTTCAAGAGGAAGATTGAGCAGGGCACCTGTCTACATCTTCAAGAAATGAAATGCAATAGCGGGGTGGGGGGCATCATTGCCATAAAATATGAACTTCAAAGGCAAGGAGATGTTTATTAAAAAGAAAACGTCAAAGAGCAGGAAGGACACAAATATGATGCTAGGAAGCTGAAGTGGGTGGAGACTGAAGTATTTTTGAAGGAGGAAAGAGCACAGTGTCCAGTATAAATCCAGGGAAAATGGGCTCTGTGGAGTCCAGGCTCTGCTCCCAACCTGCCTCTGCAGAATGGCATGATCAGCAAAGTCACTTCTCAGTGGAAAATGAGGCTTTAAATCAGCAAGGTCTACAGTTCTTCATAAGTAAAAAGAAAATGAAAACAAAAGAACCCACGGTGTAGCCTCTTAAGAGCAAATCAGTGGCTCTACCTGTGGCTTCTCCCAGTGTCAACTGTTGGTTTCCTGGATAACAAAGACTTTCAAGTGAAGGCACCAGGTTGCTATGTGCATATTAATTGATTAATTTTTTGTGATACTGGAGATTGACTAGGACTTTTGCACTCAGCTACGACCCAGTCCTTTGAAAAATAATAATAAAAAATATTTTTGAGACATGTTCTCACTAAGTTGCTAAATTACCCAGGCTGGGCTCAAATTTGCAATCCTCCTGACTCAGCCTACCAGAACACTGGCATTGTAGGCCTGCACCATCATTCTGGGCTCATTGGTCTTTATTTTATTCAGCCCCCATCCATCCATTCAATCCATAGGTGCTGAGCACCTTTTCTATACCAAGCAATGTGTTACAGATTAGGCAAATTGTGTCACACAAAAATAGAGGGGTCCCCTTTCCCATAGCTCTTCCACTCTCATGGAGGGGACCCACCTGTTCCAAAGTGTAACCCCCAAAATGAACAGTTACAGCTGTGACTGTAATGAAACCCACATGAATGTGAGCCCTGATCTATGGTGGGGATCATGAGGGGCTGCTCCACCCCACGTTTGACCTAAGATCTGACAAGGACTTGGTGGTGCAGACCTGTAACCTCAGCACTCTGGAAGGCTGAGGTAGGGAGGATCGCAAGCTGGCATCGGCCTGGGCTCAGTGAGACTCTGTCTCACAATAAAAAATTGGCTGGGGATGTAGCTCTGTGAGAAGGCTGTAGGTTCAGGCCTCAGATAAAAATAAATCAAGGAGGGTAGTTCCAGAGCACATAGAGGGCTCAGAGCAGCCCCACGCTCTGCAGCCAGGTGGACGAAGCGCCCAGAGACCACACAGCACACATGAAGCCAAATAGAAAGCTCTGCACATGTTCCTGAAAGAATGGGGAGTGACTGAAAGGTTGGGAATGAGGAAATAACAAAATTAGATTTGCTTTGAAAAGATCATTCCACCTTCTCTGTGGAGAATGGATTGGGGGCAAGGGGCAGAGCAGGTAAGATTAGGTATGGAAGATTAGCTGCCTTCCGGAAGAGATCCAATGATACCAGACATGGGCGCACTGAGCACAGCACCTGCAGGGAACAAGCATGCCACGAACGTTAGCAGTTGGAGCTGTGCAGATTTCAAAGGGAGAAACCCAGCTAAGGTGGGATTATTTAGGTTATATAGTATTTCTGGTTTGCATATTATATCTGTTAAATCTATTTTTCCTTTACCTTCTAAAGTCAGTCATAATTTTTTTCTTTTTTGGTACTGAGGATTGAACTAAGGACCTTGTGCTTGTGAGGTAGGTGGGAGAGTTATAATTTTTTTTAAATAATGGAACTGAAGCAAAGAAAGATGAGATACAAAAATATGTTCAATCCACCGCTTATATATGTTCTCTTCTTTTTAAAACTTAAAGTCACCCTGGTCTTGCTCCTAAATGGGTGCCAAGCACAGGTCCCCGAGCTCTGCCTGTGTCACATGATTCCAGTCTTGGTCACCATGGCCCTCTCTGCCTCTCGCCATGAGACCTTCAATTTCAGTTATTGTCCCTTTCATCTCTAGTACCAGCCTGGCAGAAGCAATGAATAAAGTCAAATTGTTTCTTTGAAAACCAGAATTTATTGTGCTCCAGTGTCACTTTTATTAATTGTTGAGTGTTAATGGTATCCAGACCTACAGGACTTTGTATAAACATTTAACTTTTGTTTTTCACCAAAGGGAAACCTCTCTTATCTTCTATATACGGTGTTATGCCTGCCTTCTGTTGCAGACTAGTTATACATCCTGAATTTATTTACACCAGGGAAGCTAGGAATTTGACCTTTGAATAACATCACTGAGAGAAATATAGGGAGCTGAACCAACCACACAAGTTCACAGGAGTCTTTTAAACTGTGTTCTCACTTGGCCTCCTGAAAGATTCTCCATGTGCTTGTCCCTGTCACCCAGGATCAACTTCTGCAGTCCATCTCAGGGTCTTAGGGAGAAGGACCCTCTTTCTCAGGTTCTGAGCCAGGACCACTTAGAAAGAGGAATAGAGCATTGTCTTCTAGATAACATGAGGGGGAGAAAAATAAGATGCCTTTTGCTTTATTTTTTTTTATCCTAAACTTTTAAAAGCAAAAGTCTGGGGGAGATATCAAAGGAATCCTAACCTCAATGTTAGGAATATTTTAGCAAACACAACACCCCGGGGGAATAAGAAATGGTTCAGGATGCATAATTTCTCCCTAGGGTAGGCAAAGTCCTTACAATCATTGTCCCCCAGGAGGATCTTGTACCTTGCAGTTTGAAAATAAATTGCGAGTAGACATTAGTAGCTAGGACAGAGGTCAAAATTCACACCTGTCACCCCTAACTTTTGGGACAAGCATGTGGGCTTCTTGCACAAGTAACCCACTGATCAACTGCCTACCTGAATGCCTCTCAATGGAGGAAATGTACAGTGTTTATTATAGAGGGAACACTGTCCATTTAGTTCTAATCTCAAGATTGAATGGTGAGCATAATTCCTAGCAATGCTGCTTTAATTTATGTACACCAAGTTCATAAAAGCCATTTCATTAGACGAGCTGGAGTTGCACCCTATGCTTGGTGTGTTGCATGTGGCAGGCAACTTGATTTATATCCTGGCGCCCAGTCTGCCACGGGCAAGCATTTCAATGCTCTGCCTTTTATTTAGATGTATTCGGCGTCGCGCCCTTTCTTGCCAATGGATACTAAGCTTTCTCCAGAGCTCTATGTACATGTCAAGATATTCCTTTCCTCAGAGAGATGCCAAAACCAGATTTATCCTCTTCCCCCAAGGTTAAAGAAACGAGGGAGATGTCCTTTGCTTTTCTCTACTTCTTACTCTCAGAAAATAATTCATCTACATCCACACAGTGACAGCTCTCGGCATGAACAAAGGTGTCCCAAGCAAAGCCAACAGGCATCCATGTAATTGTTCATGATTGTATCATTGCCTAGTTAGCATATTTGTAGGACCTGAGGTTTCAACACCAGCCTTACTCAAAATAAAGCAAAGCAAAACAAAATTTTTCAATATTCTGTTGTTTTTAAATTGTATTTTAGAATATGGCTTACAAAATACCAATGTAGTCCAGCAGGTGAGGCAGTCTAATACGGGGGTCTCCCAGGAAAATTCATGAAGCAGTTTTCACAATAAGGTTCTCTAATTTTCTTCTTTGGCTCTGCAGTCATTTATATATAAAGTCTATCTGCAATCACATATGCTGAGCTTTTTTTTTTTCTTTTTCTGCATTAGTATTTTTCTTTTCCCTGTGTCATATGTACAGGAAAACTTTATGCTAATATTGACTTCAGCACACACCCACATGTGCTTAGGGTGAAAGGAGGGACAACCACAGAAGACAATATATAGAATCTATTCCAGTGAAAGAACTGTTCTGAAAGGTTGACTGTTTTCTTCTCTCTTCTTTTATTTCTTTAAGCATCCCTTAAGAAATTTATTTTGAGATTGGCAATTATTTCAGTATGTACAAGTATCTCATTAAGTTATTCTCAAGCTATATGTTCAATCAGCTTTAAGCACAACAGATCTTATTTGCATTTTATAGACAGAAAAAGAAGAGATACCTCAAACAAACCCAGCCAGAACAAATTGGAATTTGCCCAGTTCAATTTATTTCTATATACTGAGCAATAAACACATAGAAATTGAAACAAAAATATTATTTACATCAAAAAGCAGGTAACACTTAAATACAAATTTATCAAAATAGGTTCAAAATGTGCATATTGAAATCTACAAAATATTCCATGAAGATTTAGACTGGGAGATTCAGTACTGTTACAATGTCAATTCTTCCCATCTTTACCAATAACACAATTCTAATCAAAATTAAAGTAGATTATTTATAAAAAGCAACTTAATTGTAAAATTTTGTGGAAATGCAAAGGATTTGAAATAACCAGAATGATTTAGAAAAATGAGTATGAAGTTGAAGGAGTTACTATATGGGATTTCAGGACTTATTATGAAAGTAGTAAAAGAATGGATTTGAGAATTCTAGATTGTTATGGCCTGAATGTTTATGCACCACCCGCCCCCCCCAAGTCATATTTTCAGACCTAATCACAATCTGATTGAATTCACAAGTAAGGCTTTTGGGAGGTGATTAGCTCATAAGGAAAGAGCTCTCCTGAATGGTATTAGTGCCTTAATAAGAAAGGCCCCAGAGAGCTATTTGTCCCTTCTACCATGTGAGGACATAGCCAGGAAGTATGGACCAGAAAATGAGTGCTTTCCAGACTTCAAATCACCAGGCAACTTGATCTTAGACATCACAACCTCCAAATCTGCGAGAAATAAATTTCTACTGTTTATGAACTACTCAATGTATGATGTTCTGCTTTAATAGCTGTAACAGACTAAGACATAGATTAGTGAAACAAAATCAGGAGTCTAGAAATAAATGCACATATATTTTCCTAACTGTTGCTGTTCAGCAAAGGCACTAAGATAATTCATTGTAGAAATGATAGTTCTCTTTTCAACAAATGATATGTAAACAACTAGATATCCACATTTTAAAAAATCTCAATTCCTATTTCATGTCATAAACAAAATTTAATCCTACATGGATCATAAACCTAAAAATAAGGACTAATATATAAAACTGCTAGAAAAAAATATAGGAAAAAAATCTTCATCTTGGAATGATCAGATATTTCTGAGATAGAAAACAAAGGCACAAAAACTTTTAAACTATGATACATTGAACTTTCTTAAAATTAAAAATTGCTCTTTGAAAATGTTTAAAAAAAGAAAAAGCAAGTCAAAATTTACTTCCAAAACACTCTTAGCACCTTAAAAAGACAAACAATATAGTAAAAATAGGGAAAATACTTGGACAGGCACTACACAAAGGAGATATTTAAATCAAAAAGAGACACTCAAATCATAAAGTATTCAAATGGCCAAGC